CCAGCATGTCCTGTGCGATTTCCAGACGGCGTTACTTCTGCTCCATTGTTAGCAGTTTCAGTACGAATTTCGCGGACACTCTCCTCATGCCCAAATCCTCGGTCAAAATTGAATGTACCGATTCAATGCTTACCCCTATCTCGTTCGCAAGTTCTCGGACTGTGATACGACGGTCCTCCATGACCAAAGTCCGCACTTGCTCAATGACATTCTCACTTCTGCTTGTTGAGGGTTTGCCTGAACGCGGTTCGCTGTCCACGGATGTGCGGCCATCTTTGAAGCGGTTGTACCACTCCTTTATCCGCGAGTAGCTCATGGCATCGTCCCCGAAAGCCTGTTGAATCTTGTGAATGGTTTCCACTTGGGTATTCCGAAGCTTTTCGCAAAATTTGATGCAATATCGCTGCTCATGTTGTTCCGTCATTTTACTCCTTACTGGAATCCGACGAGCGCTCACTACACGTCCTCACTCATAGGCCGACTGCCAGGGACTGACGCTTTCTGCGGGCGGGAAAAAATTCACGACTGCGCATGAATGTCCCCTCCACATCTCCACCGAAGGGAGCCTCCCGCGCTTCATTGGTTTACACGGAAAAAAAGGTTCGATACTTTTTGAACACACCACGTATAATAAAAACTAGCAGGGGTCCGTTGCCCAGAAATAATAGGGGAGACACACAAAGACAACAAGGTTTTCTCATAAGGTTCCTAAAAATTATGAAGGGATACACGGATAGACAGCAAGGTTATCTCATAAGCCTCCTTTTATGCTTACAAAACAAGGAAAGTAGGCTGAAAATAGAACTGTACCAGACTTCTAAAAATAATAGGGGGCAGCGAGACAGACACTCACAAGGTGATGTCATAATTCTCCTAACGGAATTACGGGAAGATACACTGGCTACGAACTGGACGGCCAAGGGGTTAGAGTTCGAGTCCCGGCGGGGGCAAGATTTTTTTTTCCACGTTGTCTATCCCGGTTCTGGGGCCCAGACACCTTCATATATAACGTGTAACGAGGGGGTTTCTTCCCGGGGGTAAAGCGGCCGGGGCGTGATGCTGACCACTAACTTTCAGCTAGTACCGAGGTCAAGAATGATGGAGCTATACCTGCACTCCCCAATTCGCC